AAGATTAAGAAGATCAATGATAAAATCATCAAACGCGTCAATGTGATCTTGAAATCTTTGTGCTAGAATCTTTTATCTTCAAGCTCAAGTAAACATACAATACCTGAAAAAACGTTTTGCAATAAAAGCATTGCTTTGAAGCCTCAAATTACAATTTAGATCTGTCATACTCATCCAATTGTTTCAAAATCAAGAATTGTAAATGCAATATGACAATACTCACAATGTGCTCATGAAGATCTTTTCAATCGTTGTTGCAAGTGAACAATTTTGGATTCAACGTCTTGGCTAGATTCATGAACTTCAACTTGTCCTTGACTTATCTTTCCTAGAGCAAATAATCATCACGTTTGTTATATTTGAATAGATCATATCTAACTCATCGTGACTTCATGACCGTCATCTTGTTTTGCCAAACACTTGAAGTTATTCATTGTGTTGTTTCAACATATGATTTTTTTTCTCACTCATTTGTTGTTTTTTGGACTTCTCAATTTACGTAAGACTTTTCAATATCATACTTGATTTGCTTTTCACTAAGGAGATTTTCAAAAATAAACATCGCAAAATGCTTCTAGATAAGTCTAAGATTTAAGTTTTGAAAAGTTAAACTCATTCTCAATACTATACACACTCTTGAATGAATCTTTTATATCTACATAAGAGATTAGATATTCAAGTTATCAAGCATTAAGAACAACAAAAAATTTGTTGTTAATTTTAAATCATATTTTTGTTATAGCATTTCTTTTTTCTTTTCTTCTTCTTTTTGTCATGTTCTACTTTGTTTCAGTTTTTGCTTTTGGTCATCGTAATCATTCTCTTTCTAAACGTTCTTTAATTTTTATTTCTCTTGATGGTAAAAATAATCTTACGTAAGTTTTTTTTGGTAAACAATCTCCTTGCCAATAACAATATTCCAAGCTCAAAATTATCAAAGCAAAATCTTTGAGAAACTTAAGCTCAAAGATTAGATATCAAAATTCTCAATGCGTGAATTTTGATGCACAGATTCAAATCACATATTGACTTCAGCAAACCAAAGTACAAAATAATTTGAAGCAATTTTACACTATACACTTCAAGATGTTTATATAGTCTTGTTCAATTTTTAGTAACTCAACATAATCATTGATCATAGTAAATTTTAATAATATAGTGAGATCACACAATTCTAAATATATTCAAATGGTGAAAATTCATCGCTTGCAATTTTTGAAAAGAATTTATTTCATTGTTGCAATATTTCTACAATGCTTGGATAAGTCTCATAAGCACTTTGTTTAAAATGAACAAGAAACATAAAAATATACTAATTTTTTTTTGAATTCAAATTAATTATCCAAATAACTACTGATCTAATCAATATATTTTGTATTTCACTTCATCGAACTTGATGCAAAATTCTACAAAACATAATTAAAATTGTAATATTAAATATTCAATTGATTTTGCCATTTTTTTTTAAATTTGTTGCATATACATGCGTGCTTGTGTACGGTGCCATTTGTAGAATTTCACAAAGAAAGATCTCACACATAAATTCCTACTTTGTGTCTTTCAGTTCACGCTTGTTGTACTTGCTTTTTAAAACTGATCATATTGAATATATTTTATGCATCATGTTCCATTCATTTTGTCTAGCAAACTCTTCAACCAATGAACTTTCCAATCAATTGGAGATTGATTGAAAAATTCATTGGTTGAAAGTTTTGTTAGACAAAAGTTTGCTTGTTGGTTCATTCATAGAATTGATTGTTACTATTTCAACCTTGCATTACACAAATTTGTTGGCGCAAATTGTCGCACCATCTTCATGCTTTACACAAAAAACACAAGTCTTGCATGAATCAAATTTTTACGTCATATATAAATCATAATTTTTGTGACTATGCGTGTAAACTCTATGATAACTAATGAGATCCCTCCAATGTCACATTGCCTTGAAGAGATCTAACGAGGTTGTGCGTCTTGTTTGCTACAACAAGAAGCCAATCATTGTATTTTACTAGATATAAATTTATGTGCAACTTACTTTATTCAACAAACTGGCATGTCAGAGAAATTTGATGATTTGACGAAAGAACTCACAATTAGTGGAGGTGAAAGGTGTAATACCAGTGGCATTGCACTGTCTCCTAGATTTGTCTCTCACTGTTTCTAGATCCAAAAGGGATTTCTCCGATTCAGTGTGCTTGTGCAGATTGATTTTGAAATGCAAGTGCTAATCTTAATATACAGAAGCTTCGATAAATTCAATTGGGTCAGAAAATCTTACGGGCAAGAGCATATCTAGTTTTGTTAAACTTTAGTGGCAGGCCGTCGAAGCCATCGCAGAAACACAAATTATAACATATTCATACTAGTATATTAATTTGAAGTCACTGACGGCACACCGTCGCTGGGATCCTATCGGGTATATTGAAACTTGATGGGTCCCATCAAACAATTTACGTTTTGATGGGGTTCCATCAAGCATATATCTCAAGTTTTTTATAATCATAAATCAAATATACCTTTGATACCAATTGTAACTCAAAAATACAAAGGAGTAGAAAAACACAAAAAACGGGCTGATTCAACATCAAGAATATATGATTCGTCTCTCTTAGGCTACGTCATGAGGCTTTTTTTTATAAACAAACCTAAAAAAATTTTTGAGACAAAATTTTTCTTTTACTTACATACAATCATAGCAAAAAATCTTAAATACAAATTATTTGAATTAATATTCAACATGATTTATCACTATCATGATGATGGATGCATGATGATAAATCTACTTTGCAGAAGTGCATAGCTCAATCCACACTAGAAGCTGAATTTGTATTAGCAGTAGAGTCAAAAAAGTATACTATTAGATTAAATAGATTTATCAGTTATATGGGATACCACAAAAAAACAAGAGGTTGTTGATTTTCATTATGACAGTTAAAGTGTGTGAATTCTTGTTGCAAATCAAGTGATGGACAATAGAATGAAATACATTTACATGATATATCATTTTATTAAAAATGCATTTGTGATAAAAAATGAACTAGTTAAGATTGGCAATAAATTCAATACATTTAATGTTTTGATCAAAGTTAACTTTTTGGAGAGTTTTAATAAACACTATGTTATAATGCAGATTTTGCATGAAAATACCAAATGAATATTTTTTTGCAATTTTACTATCTCTATATATTATTAATATATCATGTTTTGGTTACACCATAGTTCTGGTTAGCTATAATTTAAAGAGTAGCCTATGTTAGTTTTCCTTCACGAACTTTTCACATTGTAATTGGTTAGATTATGAAGGTTGTTGTGTCCACGATATGAGTTATGGAAAATATTATTGGTGATAATTGAAGTTAGAAGATAATTTGGATAATCTACTCCAGACTACATAGGAAGGAGAGACATAGCTTGCCCCGAACAGTATTTCTAGATTTTTTCAGTAAAAATATATGTTACCATTGAAGTAGTGAGGGAAATCACATACTTGTCAACGTCATGTCTGCATGCATCTACTATCTATGTTCTCAGTTTTGTATTTTTATTTTGAATCTTTTTACTTTCTTTTGTGTGCTCTCTTCAGTCATATTTCTGATAACAACAATTTATGAATTTGTACATAAATTATTATAGCTTTATACACATATTTGATTCAATAAATATGTATGAACTTGTTAACCCTTGTATGAAAGACTAAATTCATGTCAATCAGTACTGATTTTCTGAGAATATCATCATATTATGAAAATATAATATATCATCAAAATATGACTCATAACTCTAATATCCAATATGATAAATAATTGAACTCACTTTTTATAATTAACGTTAAACATCATGAACTATATCATTGTTACATCCATCAATATATCAGTTATATTTGTAACAATAACATCGAAACAGGTATTTTTCTATTTATGAGATTGTCAATTTGATTTTCAATTTTTTTTTTCAATTAATGATTTTCAAATATGATGAATTGTTATAATTACTCAAAACTGTCTTATATATTTAAATACAATTTCCACCTGGATCCATTATGATTCAAAAGCAAGCAGTAAATTTTTTAAAACATGACGGATTTTGCACCATACATACTTCTTCAGATTGAAGAATCAAACAAAATACAAAAATCATGTCAACAAGAAGATCTAAATGTGATGTCATTTAAATACATTCAATTTTCAATCTTGTAGTACATTTTCATCTCATGAATTACCATGAGATGAGTATGTACTACAAGGTTGAAATGTGAATGTATAACATTGAGATGAGATAACATTTAACTCAAGTAGAAGCATCTACCACGACACTTCTCACATTGAACTCCTTACATTATAAGACATCCATTTGCTAACATGCATACAAACCTCTAATCAGATCTGCATATCCCATTTTTGAATTTTTAATCAATATAGATTGTATTTACATACTTGCAATTTCAATAGTTTATATCACATTCAAGATCAAAATATTTGTGGATTTAAAAAATAACTTACCAATAACAAGAACAATATGTCATATCTGGTGAATATGCTACTAAAAATGTGTTTTTTATCCATTAACATATTTGGGAGTATACGCAAATATACAAAGTAAGAGAAAGACAGGTTGAGAATAATTTTGATATCAGATTTTGACCTGTAACCCTCACCTTTATAAATGTATATCATTTAATAATTGTTCATGATTATTATTATTTTATGAAACTGGATGGTAAGTTCAATGCAGGAGGGAGTTGAGTTGAATCAGGACTGAGTGTCACTTTATACCTGTGCTTTGTTGTGTCAACAGACTCCGACCTCTGCCGGCCATGAAAATATATAATTAGATACTCGAATTACTGTACGCCAAAGGGCTACGAAATCTATTACGTTCTACAGCGTAACATGCAGGAAGACATGCCCGGAGGGCGGGGAACTGTCTGACCGCATGCTTTCAAAAGAAGAAAATGTAACATCCATTTAATACTGGATGGAGATCCAAGAGAATTTCAACTTGCATTAGTAATGGTGGAATTGTCTGTAGTTTGGCATAATGAAAACAAAACAAGTCAAAACGAGCTTGATCTCAATTGCATGAGTTGGGCGAGATTCGTTCACATCCTGTCACCGGTAACTTGGAAATGTAAAAGGACCATGGCCGCTGCAAGGGCACTACGTCGGAGCCTGGATCGTGTCATATTTTGTTTTTGTCCTACTGGATTGGATATGATGAAACGGCAAGTGTACATGGACGATTAATTGGCACCACAGATTTCGCTGGGAACCTGTGCCAGCCCGCCCCACAATGCCCTGAAAGTACTGTGACGCATAGGCCGGAGTCATCAAAAGTGCTGAGGGTCTGAACCCTGTCCTGACTTTCTTTCCAATCTGAATACCTGTTGATCATTGCTTTTGCGCGAGCCATGTCCAAGGCCTCGCTTGCTCCACAGAATAATTCCCTTGAGCCAATAAATGAGCCTCACTAAAAGTGTGTGCCAATTGTTTGACTTCGCCGTAGTAATGACAACTCCCATCGTTTGTGCCCGTGGCATGATTGCCATCCCCCATCCCCGTGTCCATGGTCCATGGATGTTGTGTCTCTGGGGACCCGGGCCCGCAGTCCAGAGCTACTTTGGCAATTTAAAAACTGCTCGTTCTTTTGGCTCTTCATCTTTTCGGCCGCAGTGCAATTCGCCGGCTGTAGCTGCCATTGTTGCTGCTTGTGTTGGTACGCTTTTTGTTATGGAGAACAACTGGTCGATGGCATTTTGTGGCCTTGTGCTCAAATTAGTGAGATCGGTAGCACCGCTTCCTTGGTGGCGGTACGGGCAAGAGTAGAGAGGGACTCAAGAGGCAACGCAAAATGGCGGAGCTTCAGGTGTGAATGGGACGGGACGGGATGGGACGCACGACCTATCGTCACATAGTGTGCTATCATGAGAATCTGGTGCTGGGCAGCTGGAGTCTGTCAATGGATGTGAAGGAAGAAGGAAGGGAGTAAGGAAGGAAGGAATGATCCGGTGGTGAACGGAAACCAGTTGATGTTTGCTGAGAAAAAAGCTTGTAACCGACAACAAGCTAAGAATTGTGTACGTACTGTACATCTAAGTAATGCTAAACTAGAGTCCATGCCAAAAGACTACAATGAAGAGTGTAGCCAGCTTTGGACGACTGAATGATGTGGTCAACCCGCTCATCATGAATCACTCGATCGAAAGCTGATTTGTGTCTTCACTGCAATGCTGGCAGGCTTGAAAAATTGTTGCGCTCGAGGTGGAATCTGCAGCTGTCCAGTTCTTTCAATTTCGTCGTCAGTTTGTGACAGATTCAGACCACCCAAACCCCCGTTTCTTCCTCGGCCCTTCGAGTTCCAGTCAAAATTGAACTGCGCTCTTCACTTTCTTTTGCGAAGCAGATGAACAGAATGAAACTTCTCCTTTTGCTGTTGGGTTCTACCTATCCACTCTTTCAGCCTAGTCTCCCTCTGTACACAAACGTCCTTCGGAATTCCCCCCTCGAGCCGCACGCGCTATAGCATCGACTGATCCCCTCTCGCCGCGCTTTTTCGTTGAGAATCCAATTTCTTCAGATACGTTTCGGCCACCGCAGCCATGACCGACACCCCATACGGCAGCGCATGTTCATCCACCACGAAGCGCGAGGTGTGCCCGGAAAACGTCGACCCGTAGCTCACATTTCTCATGCCCAGCAGCATGTAGAACCCTGGGATTTTCTGCAAGTAGAAGGCGAAATCCTCGGCCCCCATCACCGGATGCGCTACCAGCACCTTGTCTTTGCCCAGCATGTCCACGGCCACTCCATGCACGTGCTCATACAGCTTTTCGTCATTAATTGTCGGCGGATAGAATGGATGCGAGTCCTCGATGAAGTCAACAGTGGCTGCGCACTTATGCACGGCAGCCTGGTTCACAATTACCTGCGGGCAAGAAAGCAGCCGAGAACATAGTGTTCGATCGGAAATGCGGTTATAGAGCTGGCCACGCTAGCCTCAGACGCCACATAATAATGCCCTTCACAGACGACGTACAGAGCGACCTGGGCTCATGCAAAGGAGCGGCAAAAATATCCTGAAGGAAAAGAAGGCAAGTACAGGCGCCCTTTGATGACGCCCCACCGTACACAGTATTATGATCGGCCATCGTGGCCACGAGAGCGGCGGCATTATGCGCGCTTTCTCTTTCTGAATGGGCAGCCACAAACTAGAGTTCATTCGGGTGCAGTCAGAGAATGATACCTCCTCAATTCTTTGCTTGAGCCTTCGGAAGCTCTCCAGAGAGAAAGCTCGGAAGGTTCCGCCCAGCCGCACGTTGTCTGGGCACACGTTGTACGCTTTGCCCGCTTGCAGAATGCTCACCGAGACGACCTGCGCAGAGAGAGCCGAATCCGGGCAGATACTATATTCAAATGTTGAAATTGCGCACTCATTCGTCATTCGCAAGTGCTAATAATAATGTACAAAGCCCCAGGGATATAGCGACTGCGCCTCTCGTACTGCCACAGCCAGCCAGCCAGCCAGCCAGCCATGTCTGTACCTGAGAATCCAAAGGATCGGCCTCGCGCGCCACCAGCTGCTGCAGCGCGATGACGGTGGTGGCGGCAGCGAGGATGGGATCGGTGAGCAGCTGCGGCAGCGCGGCATGGCCTCCTTTGCCCATGATCAGAGCTTCGAACATGCCACTGCCTGCCATGAGGGGCCCTGGCTTTAGTGCGACGGTTCCAGTTTCTGAGAACGGCGTAACGTGTAATCCAAAAATAGACTCAGCGTTCCCCAGGGCCCCTTCTTCTACCATCACCTGAGCCCCGGCGTTGCCTTCCTCTGCCGGTTGAAATACCAACCTTATCGTCCCCTGCATCCCCCCAGAAAAGCAAGGCCCACAGCTCCGTCGTCACTCTCTCAGGCACTCACTCTGAGGCTCTCTGAGGCTCTCTGAGGCTCTCTAAGGCTCTCTAAGGCACTCGCCCCCAATCTGAGCACGACAACGAGAGCTAAATTTCGGCACGCTGACGTCAGAATTTGCCATGCGACCGGGCTGACTGACTACATCGAGGGCACGAGGGCTCGGCAAGACTTCCATTCAGGCATAGACAAGCATGGCAGACGACATTATTTATCAGAGAGAGAGAGAGAGAGACAATGACAAGGCGCCACTGGCCACTCGCGAGCACCGACGCACGCACGCCTGTGGCTGTAATGTTCGAGACTTTACAGGAATGAGGTGCCGGCGAGCTTGCAGAAGTTTGGCAACCCCCAGCAGGACGGTGACATGCGCGTCGTGCCCGCATGCGTGCATTCGGCCGGCAATTAAGCTCGGATGCTTGGTCTCGGCTTCCTCCTGCATGCCCACCAGACCCACGCCGTTCAGACAAACCCCACTGACGGACGCCGACTGACTGACACAACAATCACGCTCTAATAATCTTCCGGAACGAACAAGACCGACAGCCAGCCAGCCATGCACAGCTCCAGCTCCATGACGACGAAGACTGTCATCTGTGTCTCGGTGTGGAAATCAGGCGACGGGTCTGCCTGCGTGGAGAAAGAGCTGGATCCTCATGCTCGATTTTTCTGGACGTTTCAGGCTTGAGCGAAATTGGGATCGGCGAGAATGATGGAAACCAGAGGCAGCCGTGAAGAGATTCAATAGGGGACCTGAATCGGGAGAGCGTCCATGTCGGCGCGGAGAGCGATACAAGGGCCATTCCCGGAGCCAATAATACCCACGACGCCGGTCTTGGCCACGGGCCACTCGTAGCGAATGCCCAGCGAGTCCAGCTGCTTGCGAATGAAAGCACTGGTCTCGAATTCTTGCCATGACAATTCCGGATGCGAGTGCAGATAGCGCAGGGTCGTCTGGACCCATTCGATCATGTCGGGACTGTGGGCTGCAGCGCGGATCACACTATTTACATTCTCCTCGTCGGGGCCTTGGGCGACGCCGAACTCCACGGGCGACGAGGAGCCGGGCAGCAGCGTAGACTCGACACTAGCGCTGCTCGCCGAGACCCGCAAGAGAACAGCGCTCAGGCAAAGTAGCATGGCCCAAGCCTGCGCTGTAGCCATCATGCTCCGGCGCTCCATGCTGCGCGCGCCCCTCAAATCGCATTGCCGCAACCGAAGAACGTGCCCCAGAGCTCATCCAGAATTAAGCCCTCCATCTTCCGCGACGCATGCCTACAAAGAACTTCGATCGAAAGATCCCGAGCTACCGTCCTATTCTCGAGCCTCGAGACCCCCCGCCAGTCTGCCTCAGCATCCGCCGCAGCGCTAATCAGTGCGAAGCCCGTTGCGGCCTTCGTCGCTGATACCGAGTCTTCTCAGACTCTCTCCTTCCCTCCCTCCCCTCCCTCCCCTCCGGTCCCGTCCCGTCGCGTTCCTATCCTTTATCCTGGCCCTCTCCCTCTCCCTCTCCGGAACAGGCTCAGGCTGCTGCTGCTGCTGCTGCTGCTGCAGGAGCAGCAGCTTCGGCGCCTATTATCCGAGGTTCTGGTGCGGGGAGGGCGAGGGGCCAAGGCAGCAGCAGCAGCAGCAGCAGTAAGAAAGAAGTAGTAGTCTGAGAAGGCTCAGGGGCTCGGGTGTTTTACATGCTCCTAGACCTGTTCCCTCACGGTACAACGGTACGGTGGTGAATGACTGAGCCGGACTTGGCGAAAAGCACCACAAGCAGAGATCGGAACAGTGTAGCTGAGCCCTGTCCCGTCCAGAGTCCGGTACAGGCCAGTCCAGGCCAGTCCAGATTGGGCCAGCCCGGCCCAGGCCTCCAGGCCTCCAGGTCACGCAAGGGCTCTACAAACCCCACAGTCCCCGGCTGCGGTACGGGACCAGGACCCCCGAGGGCCACCACCACCACCTTATGCCATGCCATGCCATTCTGCTTCTCTCTCTCTCTCTCTCTCCAACTCTTTCTCCATCCATCCATCCAATGACTGCGTCGTCCATTATCTCTCCTCGTATCCGGATCCGAATACTTTACGAGTTCCTCTGCGGGGGTCGACTTTATTGCAAATCAATTCGTCACTCGAACCATGGACATCGTTAAAGCGGATGGGGCGAGAATTGCGGAAAAGGAACATATACAAACCTCTAGGACTCTGAGCTCCCACTTTTGAAGACCCAAAATGAATATAAATAAATAAATATATATATATATTATTCGTTTTATAAATGATGTTGAAGAAGCTCGTTCCAGAGAGAGAGAGAGAGAGACAGGGAATCACAAGCGCCTCAGAATCTCATGGACAAAGCCACAGCGGGCCAGAAACGAACCAGCCCCGGACCCTAATCCCTAATACTCATGGACCCGGAATGTAAGAAGGAAACCTGGCCATGCCACACAGACAATATTTTGTTACGATTGCCAAAAGCGCCATGAGATTGAAGACCATCAGAGAGTTTTGGCATTATCACAAGGCCCGTCAGTGAGGCGGTGGGTGTACAAGATCAAGACTCCAGTCATGAAGTCATGATCATGTGAGGGATGATGAAATCTTTGAGATGTGAGAGCGTACATTGAGGTAGAGATGTGAGCTCTTATTGTAGTCTTCATTTCATGCCTAAAGACGAAAGCCGAGTGATAAAGCTGAAAACAAAATATCGCGATCAGCTTTTCTGGATTTTATTCAGTCCGATGAGGTTTCATCACCGTGACCTCAATGGGTTTCCTTCATGACCAAAATCACGGGGGGACAAGCTCAACCATAGTCGGGTGTTTTGGAATTGCGAGGAAAGCCATTTTATCAACCTCTTTCTTAAACTCAAAAATTGAGTTGCCTCTTGAACATCAACGCCATATATTTTCTGTATGTGTGTTCCCTCTCCGACTGATGTGATGAACAAGAAGAAGAGCCTTTCATCGAATTAGAAGGCACATCTTTACGAAGATATAAGCATGGAAGTTGAAGCCCAAAAATTCAAACAGAAGGAGTCGTAATCTCTGCCTTTTTCTCCGAACTTCAAAATGTTGGCTCGCGTAAATAAGAAGTGTGTGTTTTTAGATGCTGACATATTAAAAAAAAATGCATGTGTTCGACATTCTTCAGCCACAAAAGAACTATACAAAAATATCATAGACTTAACCAAAAACATATCAAAGTAATTATTTTCAAAAACTGATAAATCAGATGTTAATGAAACATATGTTTTTCTATCACTTACCATCTAAGATAAATTTGTACGAAGAAAATAACATAGATATGGAAGAAATATATATTACATGCAATTAAAAATAGTAATTGCAGCGTAACTAGATTTTCTGAATTTTCTTCGAAGTTACTCATCAGATCGATATGCACATGTAGTTCAAATTATGTCTGAGATGTTTAGTTATCTATAGATAAATTTTTCTTATAAGATGTGTTTATGTTTATGTTTATACTGTTACTACAATAAAGTATATGTATTACACGTGTACATTATACTTTTTACTATATACATGCATTATTATCATCTATTTTTAGTGTAGTATATCAGATTATATAGATAAATGATTAGAAGTTCTGATGAAGCAATAGACTCATCACTTTTGCGACTAAAAAGTATTAAAAAAATTTAACTATCAATGTAAAACAAGGAGTATGTGAATTATGAATCCTGTAAGAATCAATTGAGTGATAATTGCATCATCAAAACTTTATATACAGTTATCTGTCTCGTTGCTCGTTCTGTTCTTTGACGTTAGAACGATGACATTGCGAGGAGAAACGTGTAACTGTTTATAGTTGTGTAGAACATAGACAAGCAAACATGCTTCTTCCGAATAAGTCAGAATCATTCCTAGGCCCCTTTACTACCTTCCTTTTCAAGTCACTTCGAAACCGGCTGAGAAAACTTTCAAATTTATTAGTGTCAATACTAAACTTTTAACTATAAAAGATGTAACATTGCAGCATTAGATCAGACTCTCTTTGCAATAGATTCAGCTTTCAAAACAAGGATGTTTCATAACACCAGCATACTAACGCATGGCTGTATCCCAAACTTGGAAACTCCAGAATCAACAATTTGTCCTTGGCCAATCATATGTACATGAATATCTAATACTGAGTGCATCTGTACTTTCAATTTACTCATGAATAATGTTGAATAATCTAAAGTTACTCATGAAACAACTAATTCGCTAACAAAAACCACCACCACATTACCATTACAGAAATTCACATGCAATGATAGATTGCCCATACCAGCTCACCACCTTAAACAAGATAAGCATAACCAACTGAATTGTCACCTCCGTCAAGGCTGGACCGCGGACAATAGTAAGCGCGAGCATCCTATCACACAAAAACTAGACCCCACAAAGCCTTTGTTGAATAACCATGGTTTGTAAGACTGTGATCGCCTTATTAAATCTTCACAACCAAACATTCCCCAATGCAGACAAGCTCCGTAACATCAAAAGAGCAACAAGCATCTCGAAAACAGAGCTTCTTCCAATCCCGACTTATTCTCTCTTTATGGTTCCTTTAAATCCACTAGCTGGAGTACTAGGAGAAACAACATCCGGTTAGATATCTCCTACGAATGGTACATTGCTATCTGAACAGACACCTTTCGACGAGACAAATCATTTTTTTCTCTAATAATAAAGGTTCAATATTTGTTGCATTCAGATCGTATAAAGTAAACCAAACAAATGAATGGGATGATCCCATCAAGTCTTTACATAGATGAAACCAAATGACTGAGATGGGGGACCACACTACCATCACAATGCAAAATGTATGCTACTACACCTCAGATATTCAAGTAGTCACTTATATGAGGAGCCTAACAAGAATCAAACCTTACTATGACTGTCCTCTTATAATGGTCTACCGCCAAACTAGTGTTGACACCAGAAATGTGTAAAATTGACTAAATACATTATATGCATTGATCTACAGAAAGCTATTTCTCCTATTGTCTAGGTAAGGTGATCTTCTGCAATTTCTCCCACAAGTGTGTGGTTACATATTGATTGGATAGTCCATGCAATAAGCTTGAGTAAATGATATTACTTGCACACGTTCTTACATATATTTGAAATTTTATGTCTATAGCTTCACATTGAATCAAATCAATCTTTTTAATCACCTCTATTTGAAATCTTGATTTATAACCCTCCACTTTATCGTGAATCTATATCATTCACTCCAAATAAATATCACAACAACTTTAAAAATGATGTCATACTCCAAACCAAATAATTTTGCATTATTTAAGTAGAAAGCAAGGCATAATCATATGATTTTGTGTAAACGCAAATATCAGTTCTTAAATAAAAACATCAAGGATTCCTTCATGCGCCATAATAAAATGCCTGATGCATATAGTATAGAAGCATCAGGAAAATACTCAACCAAGACAAAATTTTATCACAGAATAATTTAATTCTAGTAATTGTGGTGAGTTTGAATGACTTTATGTATCTGATCTCAAGATCTATAAACATGCATCATGCCCAGATAACAAGTGTTTGAGCTCTAGTACAGTGAAGTATTTCCACATCCACAAAGAAAAATTACATGGTTTGATGACATAGTGAGTACATCAAAACTGAACTTGAATCATAAATGCAAGAAGAAAAAATGTGAGAAAGTAATTTGCATAATAAGGTTAAGTATATAATAAAATTATCAAGTATTAAGAATAAACTTTTTATAAAAAATCTTGCTTTCATGAAATTTTCAAAGATGAATCTATCAACAATCACAAATCTAATCATAAAAAATAGGGATTATTAAACCAGAGATAACTGATATAGTAATCATCTGAATAGAGAATAAGTTTATACTTGCATAAGAAAAAATTATTTGGTTCAGTCATGTGATCAAAGATTTTCAAGAATTTTTCTCAATTTTTCAGAATTTTTCTCAAGAATGCAGATTTTGAAGTGAAATATGGATATATATGGCTAAGAATACATTTAAATTAGTTAGGTGGATCAAATAAAATCGAAGAATGAAGAATCTATTCTCACTCATGGATCTCCTAGTAAAGCATACTCATCAAGATGCAAAAAAATAATAAAAATCAAAGTTTAATAAGGCTTATATCCAAGTGTTTTGGGACCAAAAATTTTCATAATCTACTGAATTTCTTTGAATGAAACAGAATTTTTATGTTAGGAAATAAGCTAAAGTTAATGATGAAAAAAAAATTCCGTATACATAAAGACTTGTACTTAAAAATACTAATTTTTGAATGCAGACAATAAAAATTTAAAAAAAATCTGTACAATATATATCTAACCAGATTACGATGATCTATAATATTTATATCATAAGTACAATGAAATTCATAATTTTTCATTGCTGATACATATATTCTGAAGCATGTCAAGAAGAAAATTCAACTTATCACAAAAAAGTTAATGGACATAAGAGCTTCAACATGACAAAAACTGAAATTTTTTTAAATAAGTTTTTTTTTCAAATTAAATTTTTCAATTTTTCAATGATGATTTTTTTACAAATTGTGACAATATAAGAGAAAAAACTTTAACAAAAAAAGTATCTTGATAAA